TAAATGATCTGTGAAATCAAAACTGGTATTCTACAAACATGTTTAATGAGAAAATCTTCTAGATGTTCAGACAAAGTTGAAAGTTTCACACAAAAGTTTGATTATAAGTTTATTGGAAGAAATGAAAGACAGCAGACAAAGAATTATGATATTTCCAACCTGCATTGAATGCCAAACAGGAAATCAGTCAGATGATCATAAATACTGCAACTCTTTGAGGAAAATGTTGGCAGTATTTATAATCACTATCATAAATCACAACACAGAGAGCGCTCTTTACAGGAGCCATTGTCAACAACATTTCTCCAGGCTGAAATAGAAGAAGCAAACCATGCTCTATCCTGAAAAAGGTCAGATAGTTTCACTTCCTGTTCTAAAACTGGGTCAGTTTGAGGATACACATATAATCACATGAAAATTCCAAGCGATCTTCTTTTTAAACCTTTAAAATGCATCTATTGTCATGACATGGTCACGCTAGACCAAAAAACTAACTCTGACTCAATCAAGGAGTTCGAAACCTGCCACTTCTCTCACATTTCTAAGCCCTTGAAGGATTCAGTGGAGCTTCCCAATCAGCAGTTTCTGTCAGGAATCTCCAGAATTGTTTGATCCAAGAAAGTCACATTTTTCGACTGAGCCTTTTTTTTAGTTTCTGATAGTGAGCTGGTACTTTTTGTTTAAAATTACATTAAAAAAACTCTACATATGTTGTAAACGAAACAACAGCATTTCTTCGAAGAGACTATTTCCTTGTAACTTACTTACAACTTTAAAGGTTTATTTGTGGGCTTTTTGTGTCTTTATTTTTAGATATGGGACAGTGGATAGAGTTGGAAATCACGGAGAGAGAGTGGGGAATTCACATAAGAGAAAGGTCAGACTTGAACCCGGCTTGCCTGCTTGGAGGACTATGCCTATTGAGCAAGCACACTAACATAAGGCTACCAGTGCCCCCAATTTTCTTGTTTCTCTTAATACTGGACTGTAGAAAAAAAGTGGATGTAGCATGCTTTCAACAACAATGCTAACATGCTGATGTCAAGTGTGTAAAACCAACAGACGGACCCAATCTACCATCTTTAGAGCTTTGCTCTTTGCTGTGGCTAAAACCAATACCTCATTACAGTAAAAAGTCATGGAGCACTAATACCGGTAATAATAATAGTGATACATGAGACTTATAGTGCTTTTCTGAATACTCAAAGAGGCTTAACAAAGAACAAAAAGAAAGAAAACGATAGGCTCATTGGCAGCTGCACAAAAGCTGTCTCAGTCTAACTTTCAGTCAACCAAACGACAGGCTGAGAGCTGGAGCTGAGGCGTGTTTTAAGCCTCCTGATGAACAGTTACATTGCGCCCACTTGTCACTTATGTCAGGTATGTGCCTAACTATCCAGGCTGTAAACGTGTATTTCTGCTGGAAGAACTTGCTTTTTTGAATGTGGTGTGTATGTGACTTCCTGGCTCTCTGAGCCAGCCTCAAGCGGAGCCTTGACGAAATGCAGGATTTTTGCACTTCCGCATTGGCTTCACTTTTCAACACCGGAGGTTGCTGCTTGATCTATATGCTCTTTGTAAACCACAGAACCTTTATTTTTGATAGAGGGTACATGTAATGTATGTTTGTCATTAGTTTACATGAGATTTATTGTGTTAAGTAGAGTTAAACTGAGGTTATCACCATTTCTGGTCCAGGTTTGTGTTCCATAAAACGAGAAATACATTTTATGTTTTGAAGGTTTCTTTCTAAATAACAGAAAATCTAGTTATTGTGGGATTATCGTGCACTTCAGGTCCCAGTGTGCATAAAATGACATCCCACTGGGAAATATTTGCCATCATCAAAGACCGTAACAGCATCCTGAAACATTCAGCATGTCGTGTATGGAGTCTTACTCACACACGCTAAGATCATTTCTTCTTTTTTTCCCCCTTCTCCTTTTAATTCATCTTGTGTTTTGTTAGCCATTTGAGCGACGACAAATGAAAGCATTTGCATTGAAAGGACAGGTGGGTGTGAGACACCAGCGCGCGTCTGAATCGCAGCATTAAGAGCAGGCAGAAGAATATCAAAAGTAGGAAGCATTCAGACGGCAGGAGGAGCAGGGATTTGAGCAGATATTAAAAGATGATTGTGCGTGGGCTTTTCTACAGTGCTCCAGAGAAAGAATGTAAACCCTGTATCAGTCAGACGGAGGATAATAAACAGCCAAAAACATCAGAACACAGCACAACAAACACAAACAAAAAGCAGGATGGGAAGAAGCGCAGCGTATAAATAGTTCAAATATTTCAAGTGATTTCAGAACGCGATGGTGAAACACTAGATTTTTGTGTCCTCAGCCAGTTGTTTTACTCTGTTGTACTGTTCTTCTCACTGTAACTGTATCCAGGTCATAAAAGTCCACAAATTCATACACAACACATAATTAGATTCTATGGTTCCTCAGTAACAGTTTCATTATAACATTAACATTTTACGTCACAATCTCAGTGTAGCAAACTAGGCGAGAATGAAAACAATAATGAAGTCAAAATGATAGGTTACCCATCTTCATGTCTTTTCTTTTAGAGTTCAACACTGATCAGATTAACCTTTTCGACAGCTGCCTCAACACTCAAAAATGATTGCAACAGTTTTCTGTTATTTCGTCTTTTTGTTGTTTTTTGTTGTTCTTTGTCTCAAACATCACTTTTTGATTTGTTATTCTGAGACATAAAGTAAGAAGAGAATGGAGTCAAAAATCTTTATGATATCAAAGTGATTTCCTTTCAACTCTGACGTCTTGTTACTTCATGAAATCGGACATGTTTATTTGTGTCAGAACACAGAGTGAATCACTCCGTCTTTTATTTCACAAAGTAGTTTCTCCAGCTAATAAAAGAAGTTTAATGGTATGTAATGGTAGTGTGAATAAAACCTCTACTCAAATTCATCAGCACATTTCATTCCTGTTTCTATAGTCAGGAAAGAGGCCCACTTCCTCCATTATCATGGAAATTTGTACAAACTGCAGGATGTCTTTGTAGTATACGTATGTGGGGTGATTTGTACAGTAGGTTTGTTCTTACAGAGTATTTTGAACAGTTTGAAGCTTAATAAATTCAGATTGAGTTGGAACAAGTATGACGAGTGTGATGAACAGAAAATAACTCTATGCTGTTACTGTACAGTAAATAATGATTTACAGCTGATGGTTACTCTCTGTTGACAAGGGGACCACAGGGTTTTAAGAAGCTGATAATTTAAAACAGCAAAAATCAAGACTTTGCTGGTACAGGAGTAGCTGAGTTTGGGGGGACCTGGGTTGGGATCTGGATGGTTTGCTGGTTCAAGACCCATCGCCGACCAAGTCTTGAAATTTGTCTGGTTGCCTGAGAGATGACAATTCACTTCCTGAGTTGAAGTTCCCTTAAGCAAGGCACCCACCAACCCCCCCAAATAAAAACAGCAGATTTAGGAAATATAGTTTGCAACTCAACTGGGATCCCACATGCTAAGTGCCAGCCCAGAGCTAGCTACCGGGCTTTAGCCAGGGGGGCCCTTAAAAATTCAATTTGAATCAGAATTATGACCTCATACAACAATGAACGCAAACATTACAACTCCTGATTTTTTGAGACCCTCTGGAGACATTTCTTAAGAGTGTTAGCAAGACATGTAGCAAATTGTTCACTCAGACTATGTTGATGGTGTAACTGGTTTGAGCTCAATGTGGCATTGAGATCTTTAAACGAATGGACAATGTCTTAAGGGGTATTATATGTGACATCCATACTCTGAATAAGCTGTTTTCCTGTTTAGTGAGGCTAGCTATAGAAGTCCAACCCATGCCCATCTGCATCTCGTCCTCCTCACATCTGCAGTTTTTAAGGTGCTTATAGGATGTTCAGAAAATGGTCCAATGCCACCCCTCTTTCTGAATTTTGCCATCACAGAAGGGTGTTTAGACCTTGTTGGAACATTAAATAAGCACTCTGAACAAGCTTTAAAAATCTTCAACCAACAGCAACAACAACTTAGGACTTCTATCTAATCTGGAACTTATCAGTAACTTTGACATCCACTGTTGGAAAAGATAATGTATGCACTATTATGGCTCGTACTCTGTTTAATGAATATCAAGAAGTTAAAAGTCTCAGCACTCCTCTTCTTTAACCACGTCTCTGTTTTAGAACTGTTTCCCCACACCACACCACACACAACCACAACACCTACAGGTGCAACCTGCCCACTCTCCAGTAATGTCATCACATTGACCTGGTGGAAACTTTCTGTAGCAGTACAGCCAGCCAGGTTTCCATCGCTTAGCATCACTTCGTATACAAATAAACAAAACTTTTATTGTTGTTCAAAGGATAGTTGCAGATTGGTTTAGGAAAAACCTCTTAACATTTCTTTTTTTTTTTTATCTTATGACTCTGTTATGTCACAATGCAGTCAAATATTTGGTTAGTTTATTGTTACCTTAGTCCTAAGGGTCTTATTAAGTTTTCAGAGTCTTAATTGCTTTTGTGTACTGACCATGAAGTTGTCAACATGTTCGATACACCAATAATTTTCTTTGCCTTTGGTTGTAAAACAATACAATCTCAGGTTTTTAACTATCAACAGTGTCAAAAAAGTGCTGAAGATGAAAAAGAACACCATAATTTCATCGGATAGGTGCGTATGAGGAAGTGAATCCATCAAAACTGAAGACAAACTCCTCCAAACATTGGCAATGTTTTGGTACCAAACAGTGCCAATGTTTTTGTGCAGTTTTGACAGTGTTCATGAGTTTGCTTGCAATTTCCAATACCTACAAAAATAAATTAGCCAATATTTGGTTCCTAGAAGGACTCCTCTTTGAGTTACCTTGGTATCACAACAGGTATTGATATCATTTGATTCTTATCAGTGTCGTATGAAAGTTTGACCTCTGGTACCATGTCAACCCTAACTGACTAACAGTCACTCTCAGATGTTTTAATCCCTTTAGTTTCTTCTCTTTCAGAACCATGTGGAACTCACCGAACAGTACCGAGCAGACGGGACAAGTGGCAGCCAGGATGGAGACTACTCCGTCTTTGGGAAGCGCCAGCATCTCTGTCTCCCAGCAGCAGGCGCCCAAGAAGTTTGCCCCTGTTGTCGCACCCAAGCCCAAGTTCAACCCTTACAGACAGATGGGAGAAGACCTGCCCTCAGAGCTTGGAGGTAAAAACAAGACACACAGAAAAAACTGTATTTGATTTCTGTGGACAGTTACAGTCTGAACAGAGCAGACCTAAACTGACAAGATGAGAATTGTCAGACTTTACATGAATCAAACTGATTTCAGGTTTCACTCTCAGTATTTTGTAGAAGTCTGCATAGATTCACTTTTGCCTAAATAACTTTTTATTGTATTTTTAGGTACAGTATATTTTTGCAGAGTATGAGACTCAGTCAGGCTGTATACTTAAAAAATCACATCACAGATTAGAGCTGGTTAAGCCTGTAAACTATGAATACATTGGTTAATAAAGACGAATAGTTATGCTACTAAGAATGGTATTATTAATGTGATAAACAGGATTTAACTGTACAAAGTTGTTCACTGACAACAGCTAAATTAGATTTAAGAAGACGCATGAAACATTGTAAAGAGAAGACTGCATCCTGTGGTTGTTAAGGCTCCTGATGTTATCAGTGAAGGAGACCGTGGTGCATGTCTAATTTCTAATAAACAAACAGTGTTAGTGCTTTTGTTTTCAGTCATGTGTGAGCTCAGGAAGCTTTGTGTTCGCTTTGTTTAGATCCCTTGGGGAGCTGAGGGTTGTTTGTGTGAAAGGTTCCTGAAATTAATTTGCAAAAAAACATTTAACTGATAGAGGTTAAGAACTGTAACTTGTACTTTTAACCCATTTAACATTTGTTTATTCCATTACAAGGATGTGACTGTAGGGCTGCTCAATTATTGAGAAAATCTTAATCATGGTTATTTTGACTGATATTGAGATCATGATTATTAAAAGAGCAATGTGTAGCGTTTACTGTAGATGTTCAAAACATGAGAGAGCTGTCTCCCCCTCAGTCCCCTCAGCCCCCTCCTCTCTAGAGTCATTGTGCACGCAGGTTGGCATGTTGTGGACACTGAAGCTTCAGTGTTTAGCCCACTCTGCATCGATCTTAAAACCTTTCTGAGTTCTAACCTCTCTCCATTTTTCAAAAGCATTTATAATATGTTTCCTCCTCCTTTTACCATGTTTCTGCGCTGGACTATTTGAAATGTAAACTCAATGAATTTCCCAGCCCTACATGACAGTCTGCCATTATTAAGAGTTACATTTCAGGTAGAGATGATTTTAAATGATGTGGAAATAAGTTGAGCAAACACAGACCAAAAGCAGAACTGTGTCTGTTTTACGAGACAGAAACAACTCCACTCTTTAAAAAAAAAAACTGCTTTTATGATCATCTTTGATTTGTCTTACCGAGAGAGAGAAAGGCTCACATATAAGATAATATTTAGTTATCTTTAAAGGACTTTTACTGAAGACAGCAGACTCCTGGTAATAAGACATATTGTGTAACTGTTAATGTACAGTATACTTTACAGTATATACTGTTTCAAATATTCACCATTAACTTCACTTATTGTCTATCTTAATGAATCCTTTTAAGTAGACATCCACCGATCCACTTATTTTCTGCTCCGCTCTGATTCTGATACATATGCACAGATACCGATACTGACTCATATTTGTTTTTAATCGTAAGTAATATTGTCATTGTTGTCGTCAGTATTATGTGTAAGGTAACATAAATCTGTAGTAAAGCCAACACTGCATTTCTTTTTTAAATTATTCCCTTTGTGCTGGCTGCACATACAAACAGGAAGCAGCAACAACCGTCAGCTTTTCAAATTCTATATTTAAAGCTGAAATGTAAGAACTGTAATTTTATCTTACAGAATTCAATTATTTTTGTATAGCATGTTTAAAACAGTCTACGCTGACCTAAGGGCTTTACAGACATGCCTTAAAAACAACAACAAAGAAACACACAATTATTTCAAAGGCCAGGGAAAAAAGATGGGCGTTGAGAAGGAGCTGTTGGGTCTTGTCTGAACGTCTTGATGGAGACGATTTGAGGGCACATCAGCCTGAATGTCTTTAAAGCGAGTTAAGAATGTTTAAAGTGCCCAAAGATCTGTCTTGATCGGTGACGTGGATCAGAGGTGTAAGACCGATATGTAAATTGACTTTATTATCGGACCCGATACTGATATAAGATCAGCTCTGTCCCCTCTTTATACTCATAATGCACTTTTTAATATCTCATTCTGCCTGGAAACATTTCTACAACTATGAAGCTGTTGACTAAGAGCAAAATGAAAAAAAAGTTCTAAATACAGATTATTGATGGTAAGTAAGGAAGTTGTTTTGCATGAATTAACCCTTTAAGAATTATTTGTTCAGTATGGACTTATAAGATGATAGAACTACAATACTCAGCGAAGCTTACTTTTCAGAAACAACACATTTCCCACTCCCTCTTATAAAGCAGTAACCAGAAGGTTATCGAGGTGAAACTCAGTTAACGTCCCAGTGTTTGTAGAGCCTGGTCCTGCATAAGAAGCCTATAATAGTTTATTATTAGTGTCTAATATAGAGCAAATATTCAACTGGTTTGTACACTAATTAGAAAGTATTTAGTGTTTATTTGGTCTACCATATTATGCAGTTTTACACAGTTTTCATAACTAATGAGTGTGCTGTTACTTTGGCTGAAGTCTTCAGTGAGGAAGTTATTCTACAGCGAAGGTAAACCATGGCACTTAGAGGATATCATCCAACCATATATCTCCCACCTCCCCATCTGCTGTGTGTTGTAATGTGAACATCATCTAAACCTCTGCCCTCAAACCCCCCTGAGAACCCTCGATTTCCAAAACACGGGAAACGGTTATGAAATTCAGCGAGTGAGCGCACTGACTGGTTAAAAAACACGGCTGCCTGTTGGGGTTTGTGGTTTGAGTTGTGGACCTGTCTGCTTTTCCAGATGTTAGTTTTGTTTTTAAAAAAGTTCTTAGATGGCTTCTGTTTGGGCTCTTACCACCGCCGCCGAGAGAAAAACAACAACATCACCAGTGTAGCATTTGTAGCTCTCCATGATGTGCTTTGTTTTTGACTCCTAATTATGACTCTTGGTGTACTTCTCAAAAATTGTAGGAAGCAAGTCATGTTTGAACGTTTTTTTTTTCAGTAACAAAATTGAAACAGAAAATTCCATTTAAGGCCGGAGACATTCACACAGAAATACCAAGCCTCGGGGCGCCGGTAGAACAATGGTTAGTGTGTGCGCCCAATGTACGTAAGCTACACCTCCAAGTGGACGGGCCGGGTTCGAATCTGACCTGTGGCTCCTTCCCCACATGTCATTACCCACTCTTTCTGTCCGCCTGATTTCTGACTCTTTCCAATGTCCTGTCTCTAAAAAGCACCAAAAAAGCCTAAAAAAATAAATACTAAGTCTTAGTCGTAGTTCTGCACCTATAAGAGGACAGTATGTCAGTCCCCCACCAGGGGGCTCTCAACCAAAACAATAACGAAAAATTACGCCAAGGCTAGCAGAGGATATTTTTAGAGTGATTCTCTCTGCAACGCCACCCCCGCCCCCGATGAAAACAAACTCCAAATTGACTGTTGTCAAGACGACCGGGTGAAACCGACCTGTGGAAGAAAATATGTTTACAGACGAGCTAATGTGTCCGAGTATAATTTACATGACATTTTTTATCACAGAAGCACATACAGCAACAGTTGACAGCTTTCAGCAGCAGTTACCACTTCCTTATGCAGCGGTCTTTGACTTGACATCTGATGTTACCTTGGCAACGATAAACATGTCGTGTCTGTCATGGCGGCGGCCACGAAAGACACGGACCACGACAACTATAAACTAAGGATTTCTCTGTCTTTGATAACTGTTGGACATGTTTGAGTTAATGTAGTTACTCAACTATAAAAACACATATAGCAAAGGTTGAGTTCATTATCAAATAGATAGTTTAGTTTAAAAATTCTACATGTTACTCCTTTAAGGAAATAATAGAAGAAAGGAACCTGGAGTATTGATGTATTAATATTTACCTTTGCTCTTACTCACAGGTTTATTTATTTTTTTAAAGCCTTCTTATTCCAAAAAGAGATTTTCCTACAAAACATTTAATCTGGATTTATTGCCACCTTCTTCTGTTCCTTTATTAATCATTGTCTGGGTGTTAAGAGGATTACAGAAACAACAGAAAGAGGCTGGAGAAGCATGTGTAGATGATATAGTGGTTGTTATGTTGGACTCTTCTTAGTGTAAAACGTTGAACTGTTGTGAGTTCAGTCATAAAAGAGTCGCTTAGTTAAGATCTCCTGACCTCAGCGACGTGCCAATAATCCCTCTCTGTCTGTTTGATCTCTGACACGGTTTCCTTTGACTGTGACTGTCATTATAGAAATCAAGTAATGCTTTGAATATTTCACATTGTAAAGCGTAGTTAGGGTCAACTTCACTGGTGACTGGAATGTAAAATCTGTAGGAAACGTGAATGAATCGATGTTTTATAGTCCCTAGAGCTGCTGTACATTCAGCGTTTTCACATTGCTTGTTACCTGCAGGTTGCACAGCTTGTGAAACTGTAGCCACATGTTCAGACTTTAAGGCTGCTTGAGCATTATTTATTAAAACCACTTTTTAATAAAGACACTGATGACTGCTTGTTGTCAACATTTGGAACATGCACATGTGTAAAGCCATCATCAGACATCTCCACTTGTCAAAAGATAAGACGTCTTTATGAGCAGATTATCTGGGTCTCGCTGTATTTATTTATTTAATATCTTTGATATCAAATGTGGGGAGCGTCTGATGTCAAATTGAGGATTAGCATAAAAAATTAGGGGCGAGTCAGTTTGGCACCGCGCCTCGCTGTCCCTTTGTCTGACAGAGGCCAGCAGCAGGGCTGCACTGCGCGCTCTGAAGACGTGTTTATTGTGCGGACAAAAGAGCCGGAACAGACGGGGCGGTGCACAGTCGGAGAGGTCTGAACTCTGATTTCTTTTAATGGGAGAACTTGTTCTGATTAAAGTCCCAGCAGGAGGAAGCCAGAGACATATAGGACTCAGAGGGTGAGCCGGCACTCTTGAGTTCTTTACAGCAGATCAGACTGTAGGCTTTAA